AGTAGACCACGGCCAAAGAGTGTGGATCCAGCGGAGGCCCGGAACACCACGACGCGGGAGCCATCGAGGAGCCGCAACGAAAAGGGGCGGGAAGTTCCCGAGGCGCAGGCCGGGAGGCAGTCGCGCATACTATACGCGAACGTAGCCAAACAGGTGAGGGAATGGTCGTTCCGTTTCGATGGGACGGCGAAGCCCCTGGAGTTTCTGGAACAGGTCGAATGGTCGGCCGATATGTACGGGCTGGACGTGAATCTGATTCCCAGAGCGATGCCAGAATTGCTGAAGGGCCGGGCATTGATGTGGTTCATCGCCAATAATCGGCAGTGGCACACGTGGGAAGCCTTCGCAACAAGCTTCCAGGCCTACTTCTTGCCGAGGGGGTACTTCGAGAAGTTGCTCGAAGAGGTACGACAAAGGAAGCAAAAATGGGGAGAGCCATTCAAGGACTACATGGTGGACATGCAGACCCTCATGAGACCCCTCAAATGTACTCCCGAGGAGCAGATGGAGCTCATCCGCGAGAATAGCATGCCAGACCTGCGGATATTCATCAGGCCACATAGGTGCAAGGACCTGGACCACATGATGATGCTAGCGGATGAGTTCGAGGCTCTGGAGAGGGATCGCGTAGAGTTCCAGAAGGAGAGTCCAGCGGGAAGAGCGAAAGCGGCAAATCCCTTCTCGAAGTCGGCCGTGACTGAAATATGCCGGAGGTGCAAGGACGAGCCGGCCGCCGTAGCGGGACAAACAAAAGCGAAAGTGGAGGCACCGGCGGCGGAGGACCAGACGCATTCCAATATAGAGGGGGGATACGTTAGAATCCCGCCCAAGCATGCCGACGATGCGGAAGTGACGAGCACTGGTCACAGGCATGTCAAGGGCGCCCGTTGACATTCTGCTGGAGGTGTGGAAAGGTTGGCGTCACGACATGGCAGTGCTGCAAAAAGTCGGGAAACGCCCCGCGACCCAAGCCGAGGAGGGCCGTGCCGGGGTCGCAGAATGCAGTCCCCGAAACCTAATCGGTGAACTCACCGTGGAGGATGTGCAGCTGTCAGCCGTGGTGGACATCGCAGGGAGGAAATGGAAGGCCACGGTCGACACAGGGGCCACTAGCAGCTTTGTCAGCTGTGAGCTGGCGGAACAGCTGCGAGGAGAGGGGCGCGAGGAGAAAACCGACAAGCAGGTGCGGTTGGCCGATGGACGCCGTCGCACCATCGAGACAAAAATCGAAGTGGAACTGGCGTTCGGAGACAAAGTGGTCTCAATGGCGCTTCTGGTGCTGCCAGGAGTCATCGATGCGCTGGTACTAGGCTGGGACTTCATTGCCACAGTCGGAGCAGAGGTGACCTGTGCGGGGCACAGGGTCGTGATCCCTGCGAGAGGCCGACGGAAAGGGCGGGTGGAAGAAAGGCTATCGGTGGCAGTAGTGGAGGCCAATGAGGAGTCCCCAGAAGGAATGGCGGATGAGGAGTCCGAAGCCGAGTATCCCACGGGAAGCAGGCGCCGCGACAGTGCAGAGGAAGGCCCGTTCGAAGAATTTCTGGCCAAGGAATTGGAGGAATTCAAGAGGATGAAAGGGGTATCGAACGTGGCGGTGCATACGATCACAATGAGCGATGCGATACCGGTTAAGCAGCGATACTACCCGAAGAACCCAAAGATGCAGGCGGAGATCAACCAAAAGGTAGACAAGCTGCTGGAAATGGGGTGTATCGAGCCATCAAAGAGCCCTTATAGTTCCCCCATCGTAATGGTTAAAAAGAAAACTGGTCAGTGGAGGTTGTGCGTGGACTTCCGACAAATCAATGCAAAGTCTATCAAGGACGCATACCCAATGCCGCGGATTGACTACATCTTAGATCAGCTGAGGGAAGCACGGTTCATCAGTAGCTTGGATTTGAAGGACGGGTATTGGCAAATACCACTGGAAAAGGATAGCCGGAAGTTCACAGCCTTCACGGTGCCAGGCAAGGGATTGTTCCAATGGAAAGTGATGCCGTTCGGGCTACATTCGGCCTCGGCCACGTTTCAGAGGGCGTTGGACCAGGTTATTGGTCCGGAAATGATGCCGCATGCTTTCGCATACCAAGACGATATCATCGTTATAGGCCGAACGAAAGAGGAGCACCAACGTAATCTGGAGGAGGTGTTCCGACGCTTAAAAAGGGCCAACTTAAGGTTGAATGTGGAAAAATGCCAGTTCGGCCGAAGGGAGCTGCGGTACCTGGGGCATTTGGTGACGGGGGAAGGCATCTGCACTGATCCGGAAAAGGTGGCCGCCATCGCAGAGCTGAAGCCACCGGCGAACGTGAAAGAGCTTCGCCAGTACCTGGGCGTCGCCTCATGGTACCGACGATTCGTGCCAGGATTTGCCACCATGGTACAGCCGCTTAGCACATTGCTGAAGAAAAAGGTGAAGTGGGAATGGGCATCAGAGCAACAACAGGCATTTGAGTCCGTGAAGGGTCGGCTGGTAGCCGATCCGGTGCTAACTTCCCCGGATTTCTCGAAGAAGTTTGTGCTACAGACGGACGCCAGCGACTATGGATTGGGAGCGATTCTCACCCAAGAAACGGAGAAGGGCGAAAGGGTGATCTCATACGCCAGCCGAACGCTGAACAGTGCGGAGAAGAATTACTCGGCTACAGAGAAGGAATGCCTGGCAATTGTGTGGGCCATCAGGAAGCTCAAACCCTATTTGGAAGGGTATCACTTCAAGGTGGTCACCGACCACATGGCATTGAAGTGGCTCAACAGCATAGAGAGCCCGACGGGGAGAATCGCAAGATGGGCGCTAGAGTTACAGCAATACGACTTCGAAATAGCGTATAGGAAGGGGAAGCAGAACGTGGTGGCTGACGCGCTATCCCGACAGCCCATGGAAGAGCGATGTATGCGAGCGGAGGAGGTTGGACAGGAGCCCGAAGAGCAATGCTCATGGATAAAGAAGGTCAAGGAGAAGATGAGAAGGGAGCCGGCCAAGTTCCCAGATTATGTGGAGGAGGCAGGCGGGGTGTACCGGCATATCCCGCACCGGGCCGGCGACGAAGAAGTAGTAGCTTGGAAGCTTTGCGTGCCGAAGGATCGGCGGGAGCGGGTCATGAGGGAGAACCACGATATCCCGGAGGCGGGTCACGCCGGCGGCAGGAAAATGATGGCAAGGATAGCTGCCAGGTACTACTGGCCGGGGATGCACCGAGACGTGAGGACGTATGTCAGGAAATGTGACACCTGCATGCGTTTCAAACCAAGTCAGGCACAGGCGGCCGGGAAGATGCTGACACAAGTACCAGAGGAACCATGGGCGACGGTGTGCGCGGATTTTGTGGGACCATTGCCCAGATCAAAACACGGCAACGCCATGCTGTTGGTGCTGGTGGACCGGTTTTCAAAATGGACCGAGCTGGTGCCAATGAGAAAGGCCACGGCAGAAGCCCTGATAAAGGCTTTCAGAGAAAGAATATTGGCCCGGTTCGGCGTACCCAAGGTGATGATCACCGACAATGGGGTACAATTCACCAGTCGGGCGTTTAAAAAGTTTCTGGATCAGATGGGAGTTCGACACCAGTTTACGGCACCGTACACGCCGCAAGAAAACCCGACGGAACGCACCAACAGAACGGTGAAAACCATGATCGCGCAGTTCACCGAAGGGGACCAGAGATGCTGGGACGAGAAGTGGCCCGAGTTAATGCTGGCCGTGAACTCTGGGGTCACTGAGTCCACTGGATTCGCACCAGCATTCATAGTGCAAGGGAGAGAGCCCAGGCTGCCGAAGGCGTTGTACGATGAGGAAACACTCGGCACGGGTCAGGAGACAAACACTCCGGATGAACATGCGGTAAAGCTGAAAGAACTTTTTCAGCTGGTGAGGCGGAATTTGGAAAGAGCAGCCCAGGATCAGGCAAGATATTACAACTTGCGAAAGAGAGCTTGGAAGCCCAAGGTCGGTGAAAAGGTGTGGGTTAAACAGCACCACCTGTCTAACGCAGCCGAGGGGTTCGCAGCAAAATTGGCCCCAAAGTATGCCGGTCCCTACCAGATCACTGATTTCGTATCACCGGTGATATGCAAGCTGCGTAAAGACGGCGATAGGCATACACGGACGGCACATATTGGGGATCTGAAGCCACAGGCAAACGACGAAGGAAAATAAGGAGTCAGAAACGGGTGGAGCGATCCAGAAGCCAAAGGCGTTCGGCTGACCGAGACCCGGGGGAGAGATACCCTCGGGGGTCCAGTGAAGTGGGAGTGATACTCCGGGTCCTGGGGTCCAGTGTGCCTGGGTCATCTACAGCCGTCGGGCTTGGCTGGGCAGAAGACACTACCCATGCGTTGCTGACGGGCGAGGAGTCGGATGATCCTCGGGTCCGAAGCAGCTGCGTGGGGCAGAGGTCACGCCAAAGGTCAAGCCGGAGGCGGCAATGAGGTGACGAGCCAGGGCCGATCGTCATATTGCAGCCAGGCGAAAGGTCGGAGGACCTGTTAGTCAGGGGCAGGTGTGACGATTGGCATCACGGATCAAGGATGCAAGATGGGCTGGAGAAGAAGCCAGAGTCATTAAAGGATAGCGCACATTCACAGTACTCACATGGGCCGAAGGGGGTGTCGATCAGTCGGGGGAGAGGGGAAGCCGGGCGGCAAGGCCTAAGAAAAAAAAAGAAAAAAAAAAAGGAAGAATATAATAAATGGGAAAAGGAAAATATATATATTTAAAGCTCTTCAAACAAAAGGGGGTGGGATCAGGTATGATCGGGTGCGAGCAGACCCCCACCGGCCGCGGAAGGGTTAACGCGGCGAAGAGCCCAATGCTGAGAGGCAGGAACCGTCGAGAGAGCGGGAGAAGGAATGCCCAACTACCGTACGACGGAACGACGGGAAAAACAGCAAGGGCTCGACGGCGGCAGAGGCTGGAGCTGTCGATCAGTCACGAGCCAGAGGTAGACGCAAACGCAAGCGCGGACTTTAAAAGAGAAAAAAAAAAAGGGAAGAAAATCGCCATGTTGGAATTTTACTTGGAGGAACAAGCCAGAAGTGTGGGGAGCCGCAATCCCGAGATCCAGCGCAAGCGACGGGCGGAGCCCTCGCGAGGTGAGCGATGCGATCGGCGGAGCGAGACTCCAGAGTTGGAGCTCATGGCGTTCCCATTCACAAGCCCCATGGCATCCCCAAGGAGCGAGTGGTCCTCGTGGGCGTCTCCTCGAAGCAGACGGGAGCCGGAAGTGTCGCCAGGAGCAACGGAGGAGGAGGACAGCGACGGCAGCGACGTGGTGGTGGTCTCCGTCGAGCCGGCTCCGAGGGAGAGCCGAGCTCCGGAGATGGCAGCTCAACGACGAGGAGGAGCGGGCACGGGAGCAGGAGCTGCGACGCGACGCAGCGTTCCTCGGCATCGCCATCCGATCGGCGGAGCGCTATTTGCGTGAGCGGAAGCGCGAAACTGCAGGGCAACGGGAGCCGAAGCAGCCGTTGAAAACCAGGCCGCCAGCGACGCCATCGCAGCCGACGTCAAGGCCAGCAGCAGCGCAGCAGGGACGGACGGCAGAGGTACCGTTGCAACGGAGAGCGCAGGCCTCAGCACACCCGACAGCGCAGCCGCCAGCGACGTCAGCAGCGCAGCCGCCAGCGACGCCAGCGGCGCAGCCACCAGCGACGTCAGCAGCGCAGCCGCCAGCGACGCCAGCGGCGCAGCCACCAGCGACGCCAGCAGCGCAGCCGCCAGCGACGCCAGCAGCACAGCCGGCAGCGACCCCAGCAGCGCGGCCAACAGCCGAGACCGTGCGGAGGAGCCAGATGGAGCAGCAGCGCAATCGGCGAGCAGCAGCAGAGGCGCGACGCGAGGAGGAGCGGCGACGCGAGGAGGGACGGGAACGCCGGCACCCCGAGCCACCGCCGCAGCCACAGAGCACACAACAACCGACGCCCCCGCAGTCACCGCCACCAAAATCACCACCGCCGAACGCACCGACACAACAGTCGTCGTCACGACAGGAGGAGGCACCGAAGGAGCCGCCACAGGAAGAGGCCCAGCGGCCCCAGTGGGGTGGTCCGGAGACCGCGGTGTGCGGGTCATTTGTGTCACAAAACGTGCACACGGCGGTAAGGAATGGCATGATATGGCACCACCAAGTTATCCACATAACGTGGGCGTCGGGACCCGCACCATCGGAAGCGCAGGAAGAACGGAAAGTATGGGAGGAGGAACCGGCCCCGCGAAGCAACGCGCGTGATCCACGACAGCACCGGAGGCAGGCAGAGGCCATGAGGGCAGAGGAGACGGCGTCGGAGGAGCGGGAGCCAGCGGCAGCGAAGGCACCGGCTGCGACGGCGACAGAGGCACCGACAGCGGCAGCAACGGAGGGGGCGGCAGCGACGGAAGAGGCGGCAGCGCCAGCGACGGCGACGGCAACGGAAATACCGACATCTTTGTCGCAAGATTTGTATTTAGGGTGTGAGGAATGGAGTTTCCTCACAGGGGAACCAAGTAAGGGTTAAGGCGAGAATTCACGGCGAATTCACAAGAGAGTGAGAGCCGGGGTCCGTTAGAGTGGCAGGGCTCCAGTGCATGACCAGATATGGGCATGAGAGTATGCCTCCGGTACGAGCCCGTGGAGGGAGTCGGGAATGGAGGAGCCCGCAAGGAGCGGCGCTCACGTCAGGCTAGGAACGGCGGGAGCGGGCCGGCAGCGGTCCAGCGCATGTCCATGTATGGACATGAGATCGCGCCACCAGCCCGGTGGCTGGTCGTGAGGAAATCAGGCGAAGAGGCCGATGGCAGCGGTCCAGCGCATGTCCATGTATGGACATGAGATCACGCCACCAGCCCGGTCCCGTTAAGAACGTGAGGGAATCAAGCGAAGAGGCCGATGGAAAATTACCAGCGGCGCACGGATTTACCGCTGTTGCTAGGCAGAGGCGCGGACGCTAGCGTCGAAGCGAGGGTATAAGAGGAGCCCGGCAACAGTGAAGGAGGACAGTCAGTGGAGTGCGAGCAACGAGGAAAAAGCGTGAACACAAGCGAGTGCGTGAGGACAACTGACAAGGAAAGTCGACGTGAGAGGCAAAGGAAGAACCAAAGTGACCCATCCAAGAGGCAGCAGTACGACCCGGCAAAGGGAACAAGGTCTGCGAGGTGCCAGAGGAAGGACGACAGGTACCGCTTCCGCAAAGGCGATCAAAAGCGACTCAGTGGGTGCGGAGTTGTGTGTGTAGATCAGGCGTGAGCCAGGTCGGACGCATAGCCACAGCACCAGCACCTGCACCAGCACCTGAGACAAGAGCGAGAGAGCGTGTAAAACTGAAGAACGATCCATTTGTTGTATAGAACGTAAGATCCCATAAGTATAAGATACCAATAAAACATCCAAAACCATTAATTAAACCCACCCGTGCATTCTTTCGTGTCTGTGAGGCAACATACAAATTTGTTGCAACGAACCGTCGGCCGCTGAGCCAGCCTCGCTGAGTTAGACGGACAGAAACAGTTCGTTACAACTGGCGCCCAACGTGGGGCCTCACGACAAGCAAAGAAAGGAGTGCATCGGGAAGGGCGGTACTGAAGGGATCTATACACCATGAGGGGACGACAATGGTGACAGGTGAGGGAATGGTCGTTCCGTTTCGATGGGACGGCGAAGCCCCTGGAGTTTCTGGAACAGGTCGAATGGTCGGCCGATATGTACGGGCTGGACGTGAATCTGATTCCCAGAGCGATGCCAGAATTGCTGAAGGGCCGGGCATTGATGTGGTTCATCGCCAATAATCGGCAGTGGCACACGTGGGAAGCCTTCGCAACAAGCTTCCAGGCCTACTTCTTGCCGAGGGGGTACTTCGAGAAGTTGCTCCAAGAGGTACGACAAAGGAAGCAAAAATGGGGAGAGCCATTCAAGGACTACATGGTGGACATGCAGACCCTCATGAGACCCCTCAAATGTACTCCCGAGGAGCAGATGGAGCTCATCCGCGAGAATAGCATGCCAGACCTGCGGATATTCATCAGGCCACATAGGTGCAAGGACCTGGACCACATGATGATGCTAGCGGATGAGTTCGAGGCTCTGGAGAGGGATCGCGTAGAGTTCCAGAAGGAGAGTCCAGCGGGAAGAGCGAAAGCGGCAAATCCCTTCTCGAAGTCGGCCGTGACTGAAATATGCCGGAGGTGCAAGGACGAGCCGGCCGCCGTAGCGGGACAAACAAAAGCGAAAGTGGAGGCACCGGCGGCGGAGGACCAGACGCATTCAACCAATATAGAGGGGGATACGTTAAGAATCCCGCCCAAGCATGCCGACGATGCGGAAGTGACGAGCACTGGTCACAGGCATGTCAAGGGCGCCCGTTGACATTCTGCTGGAGGTGTGGAAAGGTCGGCGTCACGACATGGCAGTGCTGCAAAAAGTCGGGAAACGCCCCGCGACCCAAGCCGAGGAGGGCCGTGCCGGGGTCGCAGAATGCAGTCCCCGAAACCTAATCGGTGAACTCACCGTGGAGGATGTGCAGTTGTCAGACGTGGTGGACATCGCAGGGAGGAAATGGAAGGCCACGGTCGACACAGGGGCCACTAGCAGCTTTGTCAGCTGTGAGCTGGCGGAACATCTGCGAGGAGAGGGGCGCGAGGAGAAAACCGACAAGCAGGTGCGGTTGGCCGATGGACGCCGTCGCACCATCGAGACAAAAATCGAAGTGGAACTGGCGTTCGGAGACAAAGTGGTCTCAATGGCGCTTCTGGTGCTGCCAGGAGTCATCGATGCGCTGGTACTAGGCTGGGACTTCATTGCCGCAGTCGGAGCAGAGGTGACCTGTGCGGGGCACAGGGTCGTGATCCCTGCGAGAGGCCGACGGAAAGGGCGGGTGGAAGAAAGGCTGTCGGTGGCAGTAGTGGAGGCCAATGAGGAGTCCCCAGAAGGAATGGCGGATGAGGAGTCCGAAGCCGAGTATCCCACGGGAAGCAGGCGCCGCGACAGTGCAGAGGAAGGCCCGTTCGAAGAATTTCTGGCCAAGGAATTGGAGGAATTCAAGAGGATGAAAGGGGTATCGAACGTGGCGGTGCATACGATCACAATGAGCGATGCGATACCGGTTAAGCAGCGATACTACCCGAAGAACCCAAAGATGCAGGCGGAGATCAACCAAAAGGTAGACAAGCTGCTGGAAATGGGGTGTATCGAGCCATCAAAGAGCCCTTATAGTTCCCCCATCGTAATGGTTAAAAAGAAAACTGGTCAGTGGAGGTTGTGCGTGGACTTCCGACAAATCAATGCAAAGTCTATCAAGGACGCATACCCAATGCCGCGGATTGACTACATCTTAGATCAGCTGAGGGAAGCCCGGTTCATCAGTAGCTTGGATTTGAAGGACGGGTATTGGCAAATACCACTGGAAAAGGATAGCCGGAAGTTCACAGCCTTCACGGTGCCAGGCAAGGGATTGTTCCAATGGAAAGTGATGCCGTTCGGGCTACATTCGGCCTCGGCCACGTTTCAGAGGGGCGTTGGACCAGGTTATTGGTCCGGAAATGATGCCGCATGCTTTCGCATACCAAGACGATATCATCGTTATAGGCCGAACGAAAGAGGAGCACCAACGTAATCTGGAGGAGGTGTTCCGACGCTTAAAAAGGGCCAACTTAAGGTTGAATGTGGAAAAATGCCAGTTCGGCCGAAGGGAGCTGCGGTACCTGGGGCATTTGGTGACGGGGGAAGGCATCTGCACTGATCCGGAAAAGGTGGCCGCCATCGCAGAGCTGAAGCCACCGGCGAACGTGAAAGAGCTTCGCCAGTACCTGGGCGTCGCCTCATGGTACCGACGATTCGTGCCAGGATTTGCCACCATGGTACAGCCGCTTAGCACATTGCTGAAGAAAAAGGTGAAGTGGGAATGGGCATCAGAGCAACAACAGGCATTTGAGTCCGTGAAGGGTCGGCTGGTAGCCGATCCGGTGCTAACTTGCCCGGATTTCTCGAAGAAGTTTGTGCTACAGACGGACGCCAGCGACTATGGATTGGGAGCGATTCTCACCCAAGAAACGGAGAAGGGCGAAAGGGTGATCTCATACGCCAGCCGAACGCTGAACAGTGCGGAGAAGAATTACTCGGCTACAGAGAAGGAATGCCTGGCAATTGTGTGGGCCATCAGGAAGCTCAAACCCTATTTGGAAGGGTATCACTTCAAGGTGGTCACCGACCACATGGCATTGAAGTGGCTCAACAGCATAGAGAGCCCGACGGGGAGAATCGCAAGATGGGCGCTAGAGTTACAGCAATACGACTTCGAAATAGCGTATAGGAAGGGGAAGCAGAACGTGGTGGCTGACGCGCTATCCCGACAGCCCATGGAAGAGCGATGTATGCGAGCGGAGGAGGTTGGACAGGAGCCCGAAGAGCAATGCTCATGGATAAAGAAGGTCAAGGAGAAGATGAGAAGGGAGCCGGCCAAGTTCCCAGATTATGTGGAGGAGGCAGGCGGGGTGTACCGGCATATCCCGCACCGGGCCGGCGACGAAGAAGTAGTAGCTTGGAAGCTTTGCGTGCCGAAGGATCGGCGGGAGCGGGTCATGAGGGAGAACCACGATATCCCGGAGGCGGGTCACGCCGGCGGCAGGAAAATGATGGCAAGGATAGCTACCGGATAGGTAGCAAGGATAGGTACTACTGGCCGGGGATGCACCGAGACGTGAGGACGTATGTCAGGAAATGTGACACCTGCATGCGTTTCAAACCAAGTCAGGCACAGGCGGCCGGGAAGATGCTGACACAAGTACCAGAGGAACCATGGGCGACGGTGTGAGCGGATTTTGTGGGACCATTGCCCAGATCAAAACACGGCAACGCCATGCTGTTGGTGCTGGTGGACCGGTTTTCAAAATGGACCGAGCTGGTGCCAATGAGAAAGGCCACGGCAGAAGCCCTGATAAAGGCTTTCAGAGAAAGAATATTGGCCCGGTTCGGCGTACCCAAGGTGATGATCACCGACAATGGGGTACAATTCACCAGTCGGGCGTTTAAAAAGTTTCTGGATCAGATGGGAGTTCGACACCAGTTTACGGCACCGTACACGCCGCAAGAAAACCCGACGGAACGCACCAACAGAACGGTGAAAACCATGATCGCGCAGTTCACCGAAGGGGACCAGAGATGCTGGGACGAGAAGTGGCCCGAGTTAATGCTGGCCGTGAACTCTGGGGTCACTGAGTCCACTGGATTCGCACCAGCATTCATAGTGCAAGGGAGAGAGCCCAGGCTGCCGAAGGCGTTGTACGATGAGGAAACACTCGGCACGGGTCAGGAGACAAACACTCCGGATGAACATGCGGGTAAAGCTGAAAGAACTTTTTCAGCTGGTGAGGCGGAATTTGGAAAGAGCAGCCCAGGATCAGGCAAGATATTACAACTTGCGAAAGAGAGCTTGGAAGCCCAAGGTCGGTGAAAAGGTGTGGGTTAAACAGCACCACCTGTCTAACGCAGCCGAGGGGTTCGCAGCAAAATTGGCCCCAAAGTATGCCGGTCCCTACCAGATCACTGATTTCGTATCACCGGTGATATGCAAGCTGCGTAAAGACGGCGATAGGCATACACGGACGGCACATATTGGGGATTTGAAGCCACAGGCAAACGACGAAGGAAAATAAGGAGTCAGAAACGGGTGGAGCGATCCAGAAGCCAAAGGCGTTCGGCTGACCGAGACCCGGCGGAGAGATACCCTCGGGGGTCCAGTGAAGTGGGAGTGATACTCCGGGTCCTGGGGTCCAGTGTGCCTGGGTCATCTACAGCCGTCGGGCTTGGCTGGGCAGAAGACACTACCCATGCGTTGCTGACGGGCGAGGAGGGATGATCCTCGGCAGCGCCGAAGCAGCTGCACATGGGCCGAAGGGGGTGTCGATCAGTCGGGGGGGAGGGGGAAGCCGGGCGGCAAGGTGAAAAAAAAAGGAAAAAAAAAGGAAGAATATAATAAATGGGAAAAGGAAAATATATATATTTAAAGCTCTTCAAACAAAAGGGGGTGGGATCAGGTATGATCGGGTGCGAGGCAGACCCCCACCGGCCGCGGAAGGGTTAACGCGGCGAAGAGCCCAATGCTGAGAGGCAGGAACCGTCGAGAGAGCGGGAGAAGGAATGCCCAACTACCGTACGACGGAACGACGGGAAAAACAGCAAGGGCTCGACGGCGGCAGAGGCTGGAGCTGTCGATCAGTCACGAGCCAGAGGTAGACGCAAACGCAAGCGCGGACTTTAAAAGAAAAAAAAAAAGGGAAGAAAATCGCCATGTTGGAATTTTACTTGGAGGAACAAGCCAGAAGTGTGGGGAGCCGCAATCCCGAGATCCAGCGCAAGCGACGGGCGGAGCCCTCGCGAGGTGAGCGATGCGATCGGCGGAGCGAGACTCCAGAGTTGGAGCTCATGGCGTTCCCATTCACAAGCCCCATGGCATCCCCAAGGAGCGAGTGGTCCTCGTGGGCGTCTCCTCGAAGCAGACGGGAGCCGGAAGTGTCGCCAGGAGCAACGGAGGAGGAGGACAGCGACGGCAGCGACGTGGTGGTGGTCTCCGTCGAGCCGGCTCCGAGGAGAGCCGAGCTCCGGAGATGGCAGCTCAACGACGAGGAGGAGCGGGCACGGGAGCAGGAGCTGCGACGCGACGCAGCGTTCCTCGGCATCGCCATCCGATCGGCGGAGCGCTATTTGCGTGAGCGGAAGCGCGAAACTGCAGGGCAACGGGAGCCGAAGCAGCCGTTGAAAACCAGGCCGCCAGCGACGCCATCGCAGCCGACGTCAAGGCCAGCAGCAGCGCAGCAGGAGGACGGCAGAGGATGGAGCGCAGAGCGCAGGCCCCAGCACACCCAACAGCGCAGCCGCCAGCGACGTCAGCAGCGCAGCCGCCAGCGACGCCAGCAGCGCAGCCGCCAGCGACGCCAGCAGCACAGCCGGCAGCGACCCCAGCAGCGCGGCCAACAGCCGAGACCGTGCGGAGGAGCCAGATGGAGCAGCAGCGCAATCGGCGAGCAGCAGCAGGAGGGCGCGACGCGAGGAGGAGGGGCGGCGACGCGAAGAGGGGCGACGACGCGAGGACGAGCGGCGACGCGAGGAGGAGCGACGACGCGAAGAGGAGCGGCGACATGAGGAGGAGGCCCGAAGCAAGGCAGCGGAGAAGGCGCAAAGGGAGGCGGCGCTGAACAAGGCCATGATGCGGGAAGCATATGCCGCCCTGCAACGGCAGATGGAGGCCGCGCGGCGGGAAGCCGAAGCTCACGAGAGGATCGAGGAGGAGGCTCCGCCTCCTCCGAGGTTCCTCAAGGGGAGGACAGGTCTGTTTAGCGGACCGACGGGGCAGCAGCAACCCAAACAGGGTGAGGAGGCACCCTTATGGGAACGCCGGCACCCCGAGCCACCGCCGCAGCCACAGAGCACACAACAACCGACGCCCCCGCAGTCACCGCCACCAAAATCACCACCGCCGAACGCACCGACACAACAGTCGTCGTCACGACAGGAGGAGGCACCGAAGGAGCCGCCACAGGAAGAGGCTCAGCGGCCCCAGTTGGGTGGTCCGGAGACCGCGGTGTGCGGGCCATTTGTGTCACAAAACGTGCACACGGCGGTAAGGAATGGCATGATATGGCACCACCAAGTTATCCACATAACGTGGGCGTCGGGACCCGCACCATCGGAAGCGCAGGAAGAACGGAAAGTATGGGAGGAGGAACCGGCCCCGCGAAGCAACGCGCGTGATCCACGACAGCACCGGAGGCAGGCAGAGGCCATGAGGGCAGAGGAGACGGCGTCGGAGGAGCGGGAGCCAGCGGCAGCGAAGGCACCGGCTGCGACGGCGACAGAGGCACCGACAGCGGCAGCAACGGAGGGGGCGGCAGCGACGGAAGAGGCGGCAGCGCCAGCGACGGCGACGGCAACGGAAATACCGACGGCGGCGATGGAGGTACCGGCAGCGACGGTGACGGAGGTACCGGCAGCGACGGTGACGGAGGAACCGGCAGTGCCAGCAATGACGACGGCGACGGAGGTACCGTCAGCGAACACGGAAAGCGAGAGGTGGGAGCGCGGTCCGTGGGTGTGGCCCTCACCTGCGAAAGACAAGCCTAGGCCTGTCCTAGTGCGGCAATCGTCGTGCCCGGATCCCAGGGCTGAGGTCGCCCGGCCGAAGCTGCAGAGACAGCAGTCGGTGGAGGAGCCGACGGGGAAGAACGTCCGCTGGCGACATGTGGATGTTGAAGAATGGCCGGAGGCAGTGGCTCGGGCGGTGGAAGGCACACGCCGGATCGGTCGACGCGTGAAGCGTCTCGTGAGGGTGCGCGGGGTGCGGTACCGGGTATCAGCATCGGCAAACCAGGTCGAGGTGTCCGTCGAGGCATGAAAGGGGGGAGGGAAAATTTGTGAATGAGATTAAAATGAATAAAGAATGAAGTACAACTAACCCCGGGGCATGGCAGCTTGATGTCGGGATAGGCGGGGGTTTAACACGCGAGGTATACAGAGCCCACGAGGGCAGCAACATAAAACTTACGCGAAAACGCGGCCGGCCAGCGTATACAATAGTTACCGCAAGCGGAAGCAACACGTGAAAAGGGGAGCGGTCCGGCAACACGTGAAGAGGGTCTGGCAGCACGATCAGAGGCGCACATATCGTGCACCTATCGTGCACGCAAAGCGCGCACCTACCGGGAGAATCATGCACGGGGCTGGTTCCGGAACTGCATCGGCAGACCCGATCCGATAGGTGGCGAACCGATCGGGCAGTGGAGGAACCAGTCCGGAACCAGCGTGAGTACGCGCCCGCGCGCACGCTTTAATTCAAATGGGAAGGTGGCCGAGAGGAAAACGAAGGGAGTTTTCCTCTGGTAAAGAAAGGGGGAAGTGTGAGGAATGGAGTTTCCTCACAGGGGAACCAAGTAAGGGTTAAGGCGAGAATTCACGGCGAATTCACAAGAGAGTGAGAGCCGGGGTCCGTTAGAGTGGCAGGGCTCCAGTGCATGACCAGATATGGGCATGAGAGTATGCCTCCGGTACGAGCCCGTGGAGGGAGTCGGGAATGGAGGAGCCCGCAAGGAGCGGCGCTCACGTCAGGCTAGGAACGGCGGGAGCGGGCCGGCAGCGGTCCAGCGCATGTCCATGTATGGACATGAGATCGCGCCACCAGCCCGGTCCCGTTAAGAACGTGAGGGAATCAGGCGAAGAGGCCGATGGCAGCGGTCCAGCGCATGTCCATGTATGGACATGAGATCACGCCACCAGCCCGGTCCCGTTAAGAACGTGAGGGAATCAAGCGAAGAGGCCGATGGAAAATTACCAGCGGCGCACGGATTTACCGCTGTTGCTAGGCAGAGGCGCGGACGCTAGCGTCGAAGCGAGGGTATAAGAGGAGCCCGGCAACAGTGAAGGAGGACAGTCAGTGGAGTGCGAGCAACGAGGAAAAAGCGTGAACACAAGCGAGTGCGTGAGGACAACTGACAAGGAAAGTCGACGTGAGAGGCAAAGGAAGAACCAAAGTGACCCATCCAAGAGGCAGGCAGAGGGAACAAGGTCTGCGAGGTGCCAGAGGAAGGACGACAGGTACCGCTTCCGGAAAGGCGATCAAAAGCGACTCAGTGGGTTTTTTTTTTTTTTGTATTCATTTAATGGCTTCAATAGTGCTTATACCTAAGAACAATACAATGTGATACGAACAGTTGGGGGACAGATGGGGTAGGGGTCGTGCGACTAGCGGTACTGCCGCAAGGCATTGCTTCGCCCGCGCGGAGACACCTACTCCGTTTGCTCCTTCCGCCTTCTCTCCATGGCCCTGAGCGTTTTCATAACGCTCGCGGCGAACACCGCGGCAGCTTCCCAGATCCTCTGGTCTGCCAGCATCAGCGGCACCAGGTTGTTGACGCATATTGCAGACCCTGCAATGGCTTCAAGCTCCTGTCGCTCGTATGCGAACCGGTGGCACTCGAAGAGGACGTGCTGAGCGTCCTCCACTATGCCAGAGCCGCACTCCGGGCACCAGTCCTCCGTATCGTGCCCAAAGCGCTTGAGGTAGCTACGGAAGCAGCCATGCCCGCTCAGCGCCTGGGTTAGGTAGTGGTCTACCTGCCCGTGCTTCCTTCCGACCCAGGACGAGATGTGTGGGATGAGGGAGTGCGTCCAGCGCCCTTTTTGGGAGCTGTCCCACCTCCTCTGCCATTTCTCCATGCTGCTCCTTCTAGCGGCAGCCTTCAGCTCTGCCTTGCTGATTCCTGCTTCGTCGTCCTGCAGGGCGTCGTAAATTTCCCTGCGCTCCCGGATCAGCTCCCCTAGGGGAATATGCCCGGCGATGACCAGCGCTGCCTCGTCCGAGATGGTCCGGAACGCGCATGCGATCCTGATGGCGCATAGCCGATGCGTGGCCTCCAGCCCCCGCATATAGCTTTTCACCGTTGCGGCCTTCGCCCACACCGGCGCGGCGTAGAGCATTTGCGCCGTTACAACGCTCGTCAGCAGCTTCCTCGTTGCCTGTTTTGGGCCTCTGGTGTTGAGCAGCAACCTCGAGAGCGATCCTACGGTTCCGCTGGCCTTCTTGTTGATGTACTCCAGGTGCTCCTTGAAGGATAGCCTCGTGTCTATGTGGACACCCAGGTATTTAATCGACCTTTGGGAGGTGATCGTGGTCCCTCCGACTTGCACGATGGCAGTCTCCACCGCTTTCCGGCTCGATATGAGCACAGCCTCCGTCTTGTGGGCCGCCAGCTCGAGGCCTGCTACCGCTAGCCACGATTCCACGGCTTGGATAGCCTCGTTGGCGAGGTTTTCCACGGCAGCAAGGTCCTTTGCGACCACCACTATCGCGACATCGTCCGCGAAGCCTACCAAGCTTGTGCTGGCTGGCATCGGCAACCTCAAAACTCCATCGTACAGAGCGTTCCAGAGCAGGGGTCCCAAAACGGAGCCCTGCGGGACTCCGGCTGAGACTTCGTATGCTCTGGAACCCAGACTCGTGTCCATCGTGAGTACCCTGGCGCTGAAATAGCTGTAAGCTATATTCAGCAGGTACCCCGGGATGTTGAAGCTTCTGAGGGCCTCCAGCGTTCGGCCCCAATCGGCAGAGTTGAAGGCGTTCCTTACATCCAGCGTCACCACCAGACAGTAGGACTTGCTTCCACCTCTCCACCTGGTTCCCGCGCATGCCTCCTTTGCCGTTTCTACCACTCTTGAGATGGCGTCCAGCGTTGACTTCCCCTTCCTGAAGCCGTATTGGCCCGGGGAGAGACCGCCAGCCGCTTCGATGGCTGCACTCAGCCTCGTTGCAACCACCTTCTCGAAGACCTTCCCGATGGTGTCCAGCAGACAGATGGGCCTGTAGGAGGAGGCCTCTCCTGGCGGCTTGCCCGGCTTGGCCAGAAGTAGCAGCCGCTGCCTCTTCCACCTCTCGGGGAACGTGCCCTCCTGTAGGCACTGGTTAAACAGGCCAGCAACCTCCGTCGGGAGCAGCGCTAGCGCCAGCTTTAGCGCCCTGTTGGGGATCGCATCTGGGCCCGGTGCCTTCTTGGGCTTTAGGCGTCTGCCCGCACGCCGTACCTCGTCTTCCGTGACCTCGGATATCTCGCCTCGTCTTAACTCCGACCGTGGAGAGCTCACGACCCGTTGCCCTCGTGGGAACAGGGCGCTAACTATCCCCTCCAGCTCCTCGGGATCAGTTGGGGCTTTGCCTCCCGCGTTGATCCTCTTCACCACCATCTGGTACGCACGTCCCCAGGGATCTTCTTCAACTGCATCGCACAGCTTGAGGAAGCATTCCCTCTTGCTGCTCCTGATGGCTGTCTTCAGCTCCTTTCTTGCCGCCTTGTAGCGCTCGCTGCAGCTGTCCAGGCGCGAAGTGCCCCTAGCCCGTTGCAGAAGCCTTCTGGCGCGGAGGCATGTTCTGCGGAGTTCAGCGATCTCCTCGCTCCACCAGAACACCGGCACTTGGTGCGACCGGAATGTCCGCCTCGGGAGCATGCTTTGGTCGCATGCGCCCTCCAATGCGGAGGCCAGTTTGTTGGCCCTCTCATTGGCTCCATCCGCTTCTGTCGCCGAGAAGCTCCCCAGTGCATCTGCGAAGATCTGCGGCCTCAGCGTGTCCGGCCGGTACGCCTTCCTTTGGGGGGAGGTTCTGCCCCTCGCCCAGGCACGCCCACCGAGCACTGGATTGCCTCGTGGTCGCTGGCGGTGTAGACCTCGCTGACCTTCCAACGAGCGTGGCGTGCCAGCGCGCTGCTGGCATATGTGATGTCAATGACTGACCCCGTGCCTGCCCTGCTGAAGGTTTGCCGGGACCCTTCGTTTCGCAGGACGATGTCCAGCGTGGCGAAAGCCTCTAGCACCGTGCGACCTCTGGCATTGGTACGGGAGGACCCCCATTCCTGGGCCCAGGCATTGAAGTCGCCCCCGACCACGACGTTGCTCCGTCCTCTCAGGTCGCTGCACAGATCGTCCAGGATCCTGCTGAAGCTCTCCAGCGAGAGACTGGGCGCCAGGTAGCAGCTGTACAGCCACGTACCTCCAACGTTCGCCCGGACGAATCCTTCTGCTGACTTGGCGTCGCGCATCTGTGGAGCATTCACTCCGCAGAGCCACAGGGAAGCTTTGCCCGTGCTGTCCGTGGCCCACACGCTGCTGCTCCCCACCTTGTAGGGTTCGCTGAGGATTGCCACCTCCGAGCCCAGCTCACGCACCGTCTGCGCCAGGAGATCCTGCGCCGCTCTGCAGTGATTCAAATTTAGTTGAATCAACTGCATGAGGACCTGGCGTTCTTGACCCCGCTGCTTGCGGCTGGGCAGCTCCTACTGCCAGCCTGATGCCTTGTCTCCTTCATCCCAGCTGCTGAGCAGATAAAGCACGATGGCTCCTTGCTGCACTCGGCTGCCTTGTGCCCCTGTCCACCGCATTTGATGCAGCAGCCGCTCCTGTCCACCGAGCTCTTGCAATTACTCAATATGCCCGGGTTCCAGGCACCTGTAGCATCTTGGGAGACCCCCTCTTTCTCGGATCCTGCAGACGGTCCAGCCGATCCGCACCTCTCCGCGCTCCAAAACGGCTTTGCCCACGGAAAAGGGCAAGCTGACCACCGCCAACTGTGACTCCGAGTAGCCTCGTCGCAAGCTCCGCACTCGTATTTGGCCCTCCTCGATTTTGTGCTGGCTCGCGATGGCGCCGCAGATCTCCCGCTCCGTTGCGAGGGAGTCGAGGTCGCGTATCTCCAGCACGACCACCTTGGAGTCCTCCGTCATGGCACGCACCGTCGCTGCGTCGCCGAGGACCCGCGCGATGCTGTCCTTCATGGCCTCCGCACTCTCTGCGCTGCCTTTGGCCACCTCCAGCAGTAGGTTGCCGTTGAGGGTTCGGCGTACCTTGCTGACG